TGGAATATGTGTAATGAGATAGCACCTTGGGGTTGGGATTAAAGTCTCAGAAATTCATGCTTTGTATATACCTTACACACAGTCTGAAGGTAATGTTAGATAATATTTTTAGTACATCTGTGTTTTGACTGCCCCCATCATAGAAGGGCAGGTCTAGAATTTTCAGCCTATGGTGGCCTATTGGTGCTCAAAAACTTTCACGTTTTGGAGCACTTCCGATTTGGAATTTGGGGGCTGGGAGGCTCTACTTGTACATGGACCTGAGAACTTGTTCCTGGACAAGGCCGTTTTCAAGGGTGTGAGCTGTGTAGCTGCACAGGGTGGTGTATTAAGAAGGCCCCCATGCGTGGTGTAATGCTCTATTACTGTCTTGAAACTCTGAATGTTTTCCCCCAAGTGGCTCCTTTGCATTTTGCGCTAGGTTCATCACTCTCATAGCCAGTCCTTCTTACCACGCTGTCTGCTTTCCTCTCCTGTTTTCTCGCAGCCAGAGCACTAGACGCAGCCTCAGTACCATGCTCCATGAGGGACTAACCATTCTCTCATTCCCTGGAACAGGAAGCAGAGTATTCACCCTGCAGAGTCAGTCTTCAGTGATCCCCTGTGGATTGTGTGGATTATTTGTCATTTGAGTAGATTTTTCTTGCCACCTATGGTCCTCTGCTTTCACAAGAAATTCCAGGTAATTTCAACAGCTGAACATAAGTAGGAGGCAAATATGTTGCCCAGGAAAAATTCAGCATTACCAAGGTTTAATAAAAAATATTTTTCATTTGTAATTTTTATACACTTATCAGCAATAAATCTTGAACAGGTGCAAAATCAGTTTGCATTTGGAGTTTACATTAGGATTTTAAAAAATCTTACCAAACACCTGAATATTTGTTTTATGATGTCAGTTTTCTGTTATATGGCTTCTTTTTATTATGTTGAGCCATATGGAGGATATTTATTCAATGTGCTTATTAAATTTTTATATTTGCACCACTTGCATAAACTGCCTCAGAATTATTGCAGTAAAACTCCTGTCTGGGTAGTCATTTGTTTTCTTTTCTTTCTCTTTTATTGCTTTTGGAAATTCTTTCAAAATGGTAACATTTCTTCTTTACTCAATTTAAAAATTGCTCACCTCAGTATATCCTCTTTTCCTCTACTACCTTTGTAGAAATGCTTTTATTAAACTGTACTTTATTGCAAAGAATTGTGCCTTCTTGAAAAATATGAAAAGAAATAGTCCTGTTATTTCTCTGTCTATATTATTAACAGCATTGTGTCTTACATGATACTGACCTCTTTAAGAAAACATGCAGAAGACATTTTCACTGCTTTCTATAAGAGCTAGGTTAAGGACTAGCTCATTTCAGGCTATGCCTCACCTATCAAGATAAAAATATGCCTTAAGCATCACTGGATATAGATTAAGATGGAGAAAATATCCAGTTGCCAACACTACTTTCAGGAAGAATATTCTATGTGGCTGAAGGGAATGTTCTGGGGTGGTGGTAAGACTGTCAAGGAATGTATTTAAGTAACAAGATGTTCAATAAACCTCCCTCTGAGAAGTATGGATGGACTTGCAGTGGCAAGCAGAAACACCAAAATGACACCCAGGATTTTGAGGAAGATTTATTTATGTCCACGGGAACTGACTGGGATCATTCCCAAAATATGAGGCCCTGATCTCTGGTGGTCTAGGCCTTACACAGGATAAGCAAGCAGGAAGTACAGAGGCAGAATGGCTTGTCAGTTGGGGATTGGTTCTTACACTATGTATCACAGTGAGCAGCCGTTTCTAAGAAACAAAAGTAACAGGAACTGTAACCAGAACTGTTACCTGGGCAACTAACAGACCGGCTGAAGGGCATTTTCTGCTTGACTTAACTAGAGAGATTCTGTCTTCAGGGTGAGCCACATAATTTTAGGGCCAGAAGCGAATGTTCTGGGATGATGGTGAGAAGGTGTATCCTGTCAGCAATCCTTTGTCATTACTTCTTCACGCAGTTCCTCATACATAAATGTGTTAGCAATATTTTAAAGATCAGCATCTTGAAGGGATGCCAAAATAGTTGTTTCCTCCACAGATTCACACCTGTTGATCCAGCCCTGAAGGAAATACTTTATATGGTTTAACTTCTCCTGAGAAACTAGTTTATTTGTGTTTATGGTTTCTGGGACTCCTACCTAGTCAGTTTCTTCTTCCAGGCGGGGCTAGAACTTGTGCTTCTCCTGCCTCAGCCTCCTAGAGTACTGGGATTGAAGGTGTGTACCAACAAGCCTGGCTTAAACTTTATCCCCTTTTTATTATGTTATCTTGGAAAATGGTATATGTTTTTCCAGACTGGCTTGACCCTTACTTTAACTTTTAGTTCCTGTTTAAAGGCATTTTATGCAAACAGCTTCCTCTTTCTCTGCCTCCTCCCCCTCTGCCCCTTTCTCTTCCTTCCACTCCAGTTTCCCTGTGCATGATAACATCAGTGATTTCATGCCCCATAAAGCAACAATTGCTGGGCTTTGTTTGAAGAGCTGGTTTCTATTGCTGTGGTCATACATAAATTAACAAAATATTTTGGATGAAGATTCATAATACATCTGGCGCCCAGGGGTGCTCCACACTCAATTTGCCAAATAATAAAGGCCATCTATTACAGAAATAAACATAGATAAGCGGCAAAAGATGTTAACCATGTACAGAAATTAAAAACAAAAACACACGTGAATTATACCGTACCTAACCACATAAAGCGCCTGTGTGTATTTTTATGAAAAGTAATTCAATATATAATTAGCATTACTCATTTATAATATGGACAATAATGAACAAATTGCTGGCCTTGAACTCCTACCTATATTTTCAAGTGCCTGCAATGCATTTCCAGCAAGAGGTCCTGATGGCATTTTAAGTTCAATGTCTTCAACCCGAATTCAGCCTCTCTGGAGATCCTCGTCCTGCTCCACGTTTGTTCTTCCTGTGCTCCCTGCCGCAGTCGTCCACATCACTGTTCACAGGCCGGTTCTGAGTCCTGTGTTCATCTGCTCCCCTGGTCCTCTGCTTAGATCCGAAATCCCCCACTCTCCTTTCTGACCCTAAAGCCACTGCAGACCCTAACATCTCCCCCATTTACTGAGGTGTCCAATGGGGCATGCGCACACTTCCAGGTGTACATAAAACCGTATTTTTAATTACTTCCTCTCTTCCCTATCACATTGCAGGCTTTAGACGGCACATATCAATAGATATCCATGAATGAGTATCAGGTATGCACAGGACTGTGCTCCTGAGTTTTGGATGAGTAAGTGAAACAGCTTCTAGACGATCACTCTGGATTACTGCGGGTTGTTAGTCTGCCTTCAGTCTAACTTCCCCACTGTTCTGTCCTTCTCCCATTAGTTACTACAAGCACACAGCATAAAGTAAACATATGTGTGTCAGATACTATTTTTTCATTTAAAACATTTGAATAAATGCATTGGTTCTCCTATTGGATCCCAAATTTGGTTTCCTGGGGGTCCTGGTCTGCTTCGTCAAGTCTGTGTGGCCACAGTCTGAGCCTTGCTCCAGCCAGTTAGAGCAGGAAGGTCAGTGCGCTCCAGCACCACCACAGAAGACACATGCACTCTGCTTCCCTCATCCCGTCTCATTAGCGTCACCCTTCCCATCACACAGCCGAGCCTGCCACAGCCTACCGGAAGTGTCCCTTCCCATCACACAGCCAAGCCTGCCACAGCCTACCGGAAGTGCCCCTTCCCATCACACAGCCGAGCCTGCCACAGCCTACCGGAAGTGCCCC